AATTTACTGATATGTTTTCTATTCTCCAAGTATGGATTAATTTCATTGATTGGATTTTCAAGTCTCTAATCTGCTGTTTTGAGATATTCGAATAATTGAACCTTATTTTTGTTTTTGTAAACTGAAATTTTATTTTGCTTTGCTTTCATCATTTTGTGTTAGAAATAGATCTCATTGCTCACATTTGCGCTCTCAATATATCTTTTCCAAAAAATTGGGATTTGAGAACTACTGAGATAGCGAAATTGAAATTACGATAATCATAGATCTAAAGAAAAGCCTGTCCAAAATTATTTTTTTCGATTTCTAACAATACCGCAAGTACCTGTGCCATGATCGTTCTTAATACTTAAATGTGATGTGAACGTATCATAGTACAATTACTAATGTGCTGAAACATAGGTGTCAATCAAATACAAAAATGTTCGTTGAGGAACATCGAACATTTTGTCGCAGAATACCAACATTGAGGGTCTGCAGTTGTTTATTGTTTTTAGTATCACACAGTTTCATTAATGTCAGGATATCACAGAATTGTCGTTTTATTTGAGAATTTTTACCTTCTCTTTCGTGTAAACTGTTAATCCTGATCGAAAAATTCTAGGTGTAAGATGATGATTCAAGTTTACCTAATGTTATGGATAGTGCTGCCACTCTCAGCTCAGATCCTTGAACTGAAGCCTGGGAAAGTATTGGGCTTTGACTATGAGACAAAGAAAGGAGATATCGCAGAAGTTTTTCTCAATATACCTTACGCATCTCCACCCGTGAATGAGCTTAGATTCGAGGTAGACCTTCTATATATTGATCCATAGAATCAAACAAATTGATTGTTCATTTAAGAAAACAAAGCCTATAGAACCGTGGAAGGACATTCGTAATGGCACAACACTTGGTCCCGCATGTCCGCCAGTACTACCTGGAGTTGGCTATGGTGTAGCCCCCACCAGCGAGGACTGCCTCACCCTCAATATAATCCGACCTAAGAAAAAGGTTTTTTTAGCCAGATTATTGCACAGAAGTGTAAAATTCCATGTTCAGCCTCCTCCATCAGGCTTTGCTGTTCTATTCTATATTCATGGTGGCGGCTATCAATTCGGTTCTGCACACGACTATGGGTACACGGGCTTCGCAGACATTTATACGCCTCAAGACGTCATTGTTGTAATCATACAGTATCGCCTCGGAGTTTATGGTAACACACTTTGTTGCTAACTTAACATTTATAAGTCAAAGTCTTCGGCGGGTGGTAGAAGATACGATGAGAAACTGAGATGTCAAATGGCATAAATTCTATAGATTGTCAAGATAAGAAACCTCTAAAATTCACAGACATTTGATATCTTGCAGTACCCATAGGCTAGATATACGAGGAAACTAGGAGAGAGATTTTAAAGGGCACACAAGTCTTGAAATTTCATATATTATCCAAAAATCTTCTTATCACTCGGAGTTCAATACTGTCCCATGGTTCTAGATTCAGATCTCGGAGAAATTGACGAACCGCAGTACTTCTGTTAGACCCTACTCTCCATAAACTCCCTTCTTGAACCTTGACGTTTCAAAATGTAACCAGCAGATTCGAATGTCTCGGAATTCATCTCCCCT